AATGAAAGAAAATAAAACCGATAAGTTGTATTTGAACGATTTTTTTCAATATTTTAAATTAAAAGTCAAATTCATTGTGTTATATAAAAGGGAAGTGATATATGGTATGTCAATAATGTCAATACCATGCTCTCTTGGTACACATGAATTGGGGTCGTAAGGACAGTGATCTGAACTTTGGCTGAATCCGCACTCAGTGACTTTAGTTTACGGAGTATTCAGTATCTACCGGTTAAGTGTGATCTGAACTAGACAATGTCAGTAAACGTAAATCTGAACACCTAGATAGGAAAACAAGATATTCACATTAACTGAAACAAATTATTTTAACTCATGACCTTATAAAATGTGAAAAAAAAAACATTGTGACCATACTCGGAGATCTATGTAAGCAGTATAAATATTGAGCAGAGGCAATATGGACCTCAGAAGCAGAACTGTTGGATCAGTTGCCATGGAGGAGTAAGCGTTCCAAAGCGCCGAGTACTTGTGTACACCTTGTTTTTATCGTTTAATTAAAAAAATCCGTACACAGTGTACAAGTAGAGTGAAAATAAAGACTTATCAGTTTATTTACCGAGTATATGAATAAGTCGGTCAACATTCGGCCGTTCAACCGATTGTATTTGCAAACAAAGTCATTGTGTCGGCCATATGCAAAATATTGACTTCGATGAACGAGATTGTTGATATTCTCGTATCACAAGCTTATTTGTCAATAGCCTCCCTCGTTTTAGAAATTGTTGTAAGTAGAGCATGCTTTTCTGTACATCCAATGAACATAAACTCCATGTGATTATGGTATACTGTGACATAAATATGGGGAAGATGACAACAACAAATAGTTGAAGTCGGATGCATTTGGAATATACTTATATGTATTCATAGATCTGATAAATATTTCCCTTAAAAAGGTTTATGAATGGATAATTATACCTCATTATGCCCCCGTAATCGAAGAATACGGGGGTATATAGTTTTTGCCCTGTGCGTCCGCCTTTTCATCTGTTTGTCAGCAAGAACTTGAACCTTCCCCATAACTTCTGACTGGGTGGGGCTTTAGCTTTCACATTTCAAAGGTGTATTCCTTGTGATAAGACCTTTCTTTGAGTACCTCCTATTTTGACCTCTTGGCTTTGGAATTTGACCCACTTTGACAAAAAATACAAAACTTTTACCTTTACCATAACTTTTGAACACTTGGTGCTGGGGCTTTCATATTTCACACGTGTATTCATTACTAGTATAACATGACCTTTTCATGGATAATATTTTTTACCATGACGTTTGACACACTTTTTAAAAACTTTAACCTTGCACATAACTTTTGAGCAGTTAGGACTAGGGCCTTCATATGTCATACAGGTGTATTCCATGTGACAAGGTCTTATTTTGGATACCAACAATTCTGACCATGACATTTGACCTACATCTGAAAAACTACAACCTTGGCCATGATTTTGAAACAGTTTGAGCCAGGGATTTGATATTTTACATGTGTATTTCTTATGACAAGGTCTTCTTCTGGGTACCTTTAATTTGACCTTGAAGTTTGACCCACATATTAAAAACTTTAAACTTTTTCCAAAAGCTGTCATATAGGGGCATCAGTGTTTCACAAACATATCTTGTTAATCAATGCGATGATTTAGCCCCCTTAGATATTTAATATGCACCTCATCCTTTGAGCATTACAGTGAAGCATGTACTCCTCAAGTATCTAAATCAAGTACTGACCTCAAAAACATCTATAATTGTATACTCCAAGGACAGTTGAATTATCCTAATCAGAGACAATATAAAAAATAAAATTTACTTTTTAACAACAATTTTTTATTGATTGTATAGTACCAAAAAATAATCAACAATAAAAACAATTTAAGACTACTCTGTTATCTAGACAGTGTATGATCTAACAACAAATAAGACTAAAATCAACAAAGTACTCACACTTGCAAGTATAACAGAGAAAAAAAGGAATACACAACACAATTATAATTCTTGAGACAAGCATAAAATTCTCACTTTTCAATAATTTCAAGATTTCCATAGCAAAACTTTCAAACAAAAAATACAACACATTACAACAATAACAAAGTTAAAATTGTTTGAATCATCATTATTGTACATGTATTATTATTCCAAATATTTTATATCATGAGCAATTAGATATTAAAACTTCTTATAAACGAAGGGGGAAAAAAAAGACAATATGACCAAAATGAAAAGCATTTGTTAATCAATACACTGAAACATTGATCATTCTGGGTTGTGATCAGTGCTTAAGAAGATAAATATCCATTATAAACAAGCAATACAATTAAGTTTTAGTCAAAGTTTCATATACGAGGTATTATAGACAGATTTACAAATGCAAAATTTAAAGTCAGTCCGCTAAGACTTGGCTACAAGTATTGACTACAAAATGTACTCATATATGAATTTCATGGAAGATAATTATCAAGTCATGCTTTTCATTTGGACAGATAATGATTTAATTTGGGCAAATTGTAATTGAGTGGAGAACAACTCCAACCAACCCTAAACCCTAAATTCAACAATAGCTGTTATATGATATTGCATACAAAAGCCCAAATTCTGAAGTTAGAAGAATTTTAATTAATAAAATTGAATGCTATCTTCAAAATTATTTGCCTGTGCCAAAAGTTTATTTCCATGTACAATGGCCTAATATTCATAGTTTGTGTCCTCTTTTGCCCTGAGATATTGAAAACATTCTCTCAATTTACTTAAGGTTAAGTAAAGTTATTACCTAAATGACAAAAATGGGGATTTATTTGCTGAGGGAGGTTGATGAACTGAATTCACATAAAATTCATAGACCGAAAACCTACTAGACTTTGCACTATAATCTGACAAGTAAGTCAAAAATTTAAGAAATGATTCAGTTTTCATAAATTCTAAAATATATACATTCAATTTTCAGGACTTTATCTCTGTTGGCATGTTTTAATGCTGGTACAGTCTCTCATCAAACCATGATGGCCTTAGAAACATCACTTGCTTTCTTCTTACTTCTGGGATAGTCTTCATCAACTGTCACATCCTGACTGTCAGCAATCTCAAACTCAGAATTCTGAAAATATATGTACGTTAAGTTTGTCAGCATAAAATTTGCCAGACAGTTGAAAAAAAAACAACATACAGCAACTGCCTATCTAGTGATGTTTGTAGTTTGATATCATAGGAAAAATATCCATTTTTCAGTATTTTCTAAATATTGGATGTCCATTTTTAAAACATCATTATCTTGAAGTCCAGTTCCTTTCCTTATTTGACGTTGAGCATGCTACTAAATATCTGAGCCTTGAAATGCTATTTATATTAAGAATTATAACTGTTATATTTTCTGCGATTTTAAAACCTATATCATAAATGGAAAATTTTGAATCAATTTTGTTCACTAACACAGTGAAATTGAAAAGTATTTATATCACAGATAATTTACCAATGTTCATCATACCTCATATATCTTTGAGCACGCTCTTTTCTTGCCTTTTCTCTGAATCTGCTGAGAATCTTTGTCATCATCAGGTTTCTTTTGCAGTAGACGAGGACTTTGTCTGACCTATATTATTTATTGCATCAGAATTTAAATCACATTCTATAAATAAGTTTTAAATCAGATCATCAGATTACTTTTGTGAAACCAGAATTCTCTGTCGAGACTGTAGCTCTACTGGTTTGTACTTTAAACAAAAAAAACAAAATTGGCAGTTGGGACCTGAAACTTCACAACAGCAATAAATAGAATAATGATCATGTATCTCAGTGTATATTAATACTTGCATGCCACATTATACATGTACTATAAGCAGACTAAAGTTGTATTTGGAATTGCACTTTTTAAGTATTTCACAGAAATTCTTAATGTTAGTAACCATGGCAACACTTTTCTTCAAAATCAGAAGTTGATATACAGAATTATGTATCTTAGTGTAGTCTACCTGTGTGTCAAGTTATATTGAAATCAGACCAAAACTGTAGGAGGAGTAGCATTTTGAAAGTTTTTCATGGAAATTTCTATTTCTAGTAACCATGGCAACGCCGTTCATTGAAACCAGAAACCGATATATAGAATTATGTATCTTAGTGCAGTCTACTTGTGTGCAAAGTTATATTGAAATCAGACTAAAACTGCAGGAGGAGTAGCATTTTGAATGTTTTCCACGGAAATTTCTATTTTTAATAACCACAGCAGCACCGTTCATCGAAACCAGAAACCAATATATAGAATTATGTATCTTAGTGTAGTCTACTTGTGTGCCAACTTATATTGAAATCGGACCAAAACTGTACGAGGAGTAACGTTTTAGAGGAATTTCACAGAAATGTCTATTTATAGTAACCATGGCAACACCGTTCAATGAAATCAAAAACCAATACACAGAATTATGTATCTTAGTATAGTCTACTTGTTAGCCAAAATACATTGAAATCAAACCAAAACTGTAGGAGAAGTAGCATTTTGAAAGAATTTCACAGAAATTTCTACTTTTAGTAACCACGGCAACATCATTCATTGAAATCAAAAACCGATATAAAGAATTATGTATCTTAGTGTAGTTTACTTGTGTGCCAAGTTATATTGAAATCAGACCAAAACTGTTGGAGGAGTAGCATTTTGAAAAATTGTTTACAGACAGACGGACGACGGACGCATTACTATCGCATAAGTAGAGCTAAAAATTAATAAAGTTCAAAATCTATTTCATAAAGAACATGTTTTCATTATTTCATTAATTTAGTTCAATAGTAATTTTCAATTTATGGAGGTGGTATAAGGAAGCCTTCTTGCTTTTATGGTTTAAAAAAATTGCACTTCGATGAAAACATAAATATATGTATACATGTATATGTATTACCTCTGATATTGGTCCCAGTTTCTTTTTCCTTCGCTTTTTCTGTTCTCCAAGCTCCATATCTTCAGTCATGTCAGTAATTTTTTCTATGTGCTTTTTTCAGCAATGGAAAAAAAAATTAAATTGCTAATGTTATTCTGTCCCTATACCATCAGAAGGTATACAATTGGATATTATTTAAACCACTTTTAACCTACAAAAACATTTGATTATTTGTCGCTTCGAAAATTACGCAAGAAGTTGAGCCAGGCCACATAATTATGCCATATAAGTGAACTACACATGTACAGATTCTACTAATTATAGAACATAACTGTCTCAAATTCATATATAAATATCTCCCACTTTTAATGATCATGTAGACTTTATATGCGTATATATAATTAGACGTGTGATCTCCCTTTATGCTTTGATAGCCACTGCAAAATTTAAATGGATCAATTGCCAACTGAAAGTTAAGAACAATTTTGAAGAAAAACCTCCAGTTGAAGGTCTATCAGATTGATTAACCTCATATATTTCAGTACACAATCATTAACAAACCTGATACATTTAAGTACATGTAATAATGTCAGGTCATTCACATGACAGTTGGAAATCAAGGAGAAAATAAGGCAAAGTCCCACACTCAATAAATATTTTGGTAGTGTGCATCCTTAGATGCAATATCTGTGCAAGTTTGGTCTCGGTAGGACTTCAAGACATTTGGGATTGGACTTGCTCCCCAAAATATTTTTCCGTTCAATCAACCTGAAAATTTAGTAAGATTCAGTAGAAATTAAGATTAGACATCCAAACTGGTTGTATGAATACCTAGATGCATCATCTGTGCAAGTGTTTAGAGGTAGGGCTTATAGCTTTGTGGGATTGAACCTCTTAAAAAAGGGGAAGGCTTATCCAGACAATGTAAATCCAGGGACATCAACAACAGTTGGAACCATGGGATAATTTAAGCATAACAGACTTCACCTGTTATACAAATTAACTTACCTTTCCAACTATCATTCATGCCCTGGAATACCCAATAAGCTAGACAGTGATTCCTAAATACATGTAAGCTTACTCAACTCCTGAGGTAAACTGAAAAACTTTTCTTCCTTTTTCTTACTTACCTTTTCAGTTGACTCAACATCTTGTGTCTCTTCCATCTAAAATACAGAACAAGAAGTCAGAATCTAAAAGTTCCGATTGAAATACTTTGCTTCATGAGAGCTTATCAAATTAAAATTTTCAAATCAGGTGGGTTATTTTTTTTTAAAGCATATACCTTATTTTCTTCATTGTTGATGACAGTCTTATTAATAAGGTACTTTTCAACTCCCTCATTCATTATTTTCTCATTGTCTACCATTTTTCCCAGCCTAAAAAAAAGATATATGCATATTATACTATATGTATGCAAGTCTATCAATATCATTTATTACATCAGTAAAATGTACTTTGTAAACTTCGATTTACTTAATAATATCTCACTTTTTGCCCTTCCCAGAATTCTTCACATATCCTTCTTTTTCCATTCTGTCAATGAGTCCATGTGCAATATTTACTTCTACTCCCAGCCTCTTAGCCAGACTTGGTGCCACAACTCTGCTGGACTCAGTAGCTGCCATCAGAGCTCTTCTGTACAGACATGTTGTCTAAGATAAATAAAAAGGTGCATAAGTGGGCTACAGCAAAACTTGTACGAACACGGATATTGTGAATTCACAAATATAGCGAAATTATTTTGGATTCCCAACTATATAAATTTAATGAATTCCTTATACGGATATAACAAATTACAGATATAGCAAAGTAATTTCAAAGGCCCCAGTGACTTTGTCATAACCAAGTTTTACTGTATCATTTTGCCCAAAGAACAGGGTAACAAAGGACTTTTTGAAATTTTTTGTTGAATCACAGAATACTTTAAGAAATTAAATAGAAGGGTTGGGAAGCCCTGGGCATCCTAGGCATTATGTTAGGCTGCTTTGGTACCTCAATATAAGGATGATCAATACTAAATAAATATAGTAATAGAAAGTGTAATAACTTGTTACCACTATGCATTTACTCACTACCTGCATATTTAATTTATATGAATGTGTGTAGCAATTATAAGGTAAACATTATTCAAATTATTGTTGCTGGTGCATAAAACCTGCTTAAAATTCTATTCATAATCCAATTTATATCTGTGAACCATGTTCTGCTCATGCCCACTGAGTATTGGTCCTTGAAGCTATTATTGCCAAACTGCATTATGATGGACTTCATTTCCATTTTTCCCATTAGATCAAAAGTTTAGTTTTGAATTAACAGAATCGCCATATTTATGGCTAAAATACCATCCTATTTCTCAAATGAATCACACATACAAACATGGATACCGACTCTATCACTTTAATTTAAATACATGTAATAGGATCAACCAGTGATTTATTCATCAGAAATTGCAATTAACTGGTATTAAAGCAATTCCACATTTGACTTTCATCACTGATATAACTCTATAAATAACATATTATAATTACTGGTTAGAGGTATTCACCTGAATAGCTATAGGACTCAGCTTGTACAGATAGGGATCTGTTGGCTGCTTTATAGGATCATCTTTCTGTGAAAACAAAATAAGATTAAGTATCTCATTTTTTCCCATTAATTACAGTATATTGCCATATTACAAGTCATGCTTTTTATGGCATTATATGGCTAAATTAATTGTCAGAGAATAAATGTCATTTCATACTAACATCAGCACAGACATCACACACATGGTGTTCTGGGGCCTCATATTCCTCCTTGATACAGAAGCATAGCCCATGTTGCCAGTACTTGCAGATGGCACATAACACCATCAGTCCATCATCCTACAATTTAGAATGGTATGTTACATGAGTGTTACAAAATCTCTTATAATACATACAGACAATCTTCACAGTGTTGTTATTCACTGACCTCATTACAACCACATGGACATCGGACCCCAAATTCCTCCTCAGTTTCTGTCATCTGACTCATTTCAGAGCCAAGCATTTCAACTGCTTTACCATCAGAACCTACAAAACATGCATATTATATAATATCTTCAAGCATTTCCAACTTAAGAGAATCAAGAAAATTTATTAGAAAATCATAAACCTTCCTCAACCATCAGCTCATACTTCTACATCTCAATGGCTCACTTATCACTATGATTAGCCAAAAATATCGGGACTTAATTTGTATGAATTCATTAAAACTTGATATTTGTTTGTCCATTGCAGAAAAAAAAAAATGAGAAAATCTGCACTAGAGATTAAACTACTCTTTAAAATTTAAAATCAATTATTTTTACTTCAAAATACTGAGGGAAAATTAAATCTCATGGCTTCCATTAGAAGCATCATGATAAACAGTTTGATGATTTTTGGCATTTTTTTTCCTGGTCTGATGTTTTGAGAATTTCAACAAGATGAAAGATCTTGGTCATCAGCACAGACATTCAGATGTCTAATTTTCAGTAGGTCAGTATCTAATCAGTCTTCTACCTGGAATTTCTGGACTTTCTGTTGGGACCACTGGAGTTGGTTGTGATTCATCTTTCTTTATCTTCTCATCTTTTTTAGTGTCCTTGAAAGAATTTAGAAATGCTTTGCATGTATTAAGGTAAATATTTGTATTCAATTGTGCAATTCAAGTTTCTTAAGGTTTATTCTAACTTTGCGTTATTGTATATGTATATTGTATTATATGATAATAACACTAACATTACCTACATAAAAATATGTTATTGATAATTGTAATCATTCATCTAATTGAGAGATAACTAGTGACCTCTGAGGCAATTGCATTCATTCATTGGGAAGTAAATTAACATTCTCAACTACATTTATCTGTTGCTCAAGAATCTAAAGAAAAACTGATGCTCTTTAGATGTCTAGCTCAATACAGTGTTTGAAGCCTACTTTACATAAAGTGTGAACTTCAGTCTCTGTCTTCATCTCAGCTGTCTCCTCCTCCTTGATGTCAAACATTGCTTCATTTGTTTTCACCCTCATTTTAATTCTGTAAAAGAAATAAGATACCAGACTCAGAAAAGTATCTGCAAAGAAAATTAAATATTTTTGCAAATTACTGGTAAATGCAGACTTATACTTTATACAGTAAAAAACAGATATTAAGCAAAGACATATAGGGACCTTATTAAGGTACAAATTTACTTCTGACACTATATATCCGAAATGTTATATATACGTATAAACAATTTGTTTATAAAGTATATATAGTGAATTTTAAAGTAGATTTTATATTTAATTTAAATGCCCTTATTGTAATATACAGGAATTGTTAGTATGAACATAAACAGCATCTATAATCTTAGACTTTATAATTCTGCATTAACATTAACAAAACTTGTTCCACTCTCAGTGGGAAATAAATAAAACAAGAGGCCCATGGACCACTCTATTCCTTTCACATGTTTTACATTTCTTTTAAAAATAATGAACAGGTGAAAAAAAGTCTTTAGGTTGCCCCAAATTTATTACTATTTTTGTAGTTTTAGGACAAGCTACTAGTTCATTGGGATTAGATTTGGTGGCTGAAGAAGTGTTGAGCTGATACAAGATTTGAAATTTTTCATTTCATGGAGGATATGAATTCATAGATCTCTTCATGCCTTAAATGAAACCCACATGAAAATTGTTTATTCAACAGCTATCTCGCATCTAAAATTACCCAATATACAGAAGCTGCTATTTTTAAAAGACACAAGCTTTTTTTCATATCTTTAACAAATATTATGGTAGAGTGCCCGTCCAATCTTTCAACTATAAAATTCCAATTAGCTTTATCCAAGAAAGCTCTTAGACAGCTAAGTTAAAGTTGGTACTGTACCTATTGTAGAGAAGCATATATAGCGAATATATAAAAATGTTTTAAACAAACTTCCATAATTATACTTGTGCATACAATAAACAGTTAATCAATCGTCAGACAAATTTCCATCAGAAAAGCTCACTTGATTGAGCCTTTGGCTCAGATGAAATGAACATAAATTTGTTCTAAAATAAACAAAAATCTGCAAAAATATAATATCAACAGATAAACATACCTGTGGAAAGGCTAGTAAAATAGGCAACATGCATAATAAAGTATATATAAGCCATTATTATCAAGTATTTCAATTATATTTACATGTACAATTAGGAATAAAACTTGTTTTTACACCTTCTTTACATGGCAGAAAATCCAGTGCATTAGAAATGTATTGTTTTCTATTTGTCAAATGTTTCAACATCCCTTTAAACAACCCTTCAACTTTTACAAGAGAAATCTTACAGTTGCAACATCTCCAACATTGATGGTCACAGGTTCCTCTTCATATTTGAAATCTGTGCATGTGGATGGCTTAAATCCAGGGGGTTCATATTCTGGAGGGGTAACTACAAAATTAGATTGACAAATTAAAGAACAACTTAGAAAATATGTGTTTAATGGGCTGACATATAGATTTCTTCAAGCACTTGCCCACTGACAACTGCATGGTTGAAATATTCCTTGCTGCTTTGAATATTGCTAGCAGTTAAAAAAAACTCCCTTCAGTAGGTACGTAAAATATGCAAGGTTGTGTCATGACTTTACAGTGTTGATTTGTTAAGAATTGTTTTATTAAATCCTTTTTTTTTCCAGACGGTGTATGCTTAGATGATTTTTGTGGGCCTTTCACTATTACTATCACTGTAATTGTCCACTTATTGGTCACCTGCCCAAGAGTTAGTGCCCAGCAAAAATTTACTTGCCCCCTCTGTAATTCATCTAGGGTGTCAGGTAATAGACTTTGTCAGCCCCTACTTTAAACAATCAATGTAATACTGTAAACTGACTTTTATTCGGGTGTGAGAAATGTTTGCAAGTTTTGCGACCTACTTTAACTTGCAAATATTAATGGCAGCAAACCATATATTTCCTTTGTCGTTGTAGAAAATATTTCCTCAGTATCAAAACTTAATCATCTCAGATGGATTTCAAACTGACAAATCGCGAATATAAGATGATGCGAATAATAGTTTGTTTACAATATACAAATAACAAAATATAATTTAGATGTCCAAATAAATCTTACCATCATCATAATATAGCAACTTCATGGTCAGCATAGTGTCTTCCGGAATGGCATTCATTGTTTGTGTTAAAACAACAATTGTGCGAAGGAGGCGAATTGTGGCTTTCTTGATTTCACTCGCAGTGTTGGCACTTGATATCTTTTGGTTATTTCTAAATATATTTATATTTTTTAAGTTAAAAATATATTATAATTAACCAACAAACTGAAATATAAAGCACTTGCATTTTTTGAACTATTACAACTATTTGTTTTTGAAGGACAACCTTGCAGGTTAGCATTTTGAAATACTCATCTTGATGACTGGGGAAATGAAATGAAAATCATAATAGTCATCCAGGTCTTGTACCCACAAAATAGGGATAAGCATCTAAAGTACATACTTCTATCACTGACACACACTTTCCATTTTAACCAAACTTATTCCAAATAAGAATACTTAAGCTACTTTAATTTGTCTTTTACCTTCAATGTGTATTCATTCCTTATTTAACCCCACCCCCACCCACAAAAGTTATAGTGCCTAAATCTTGTTTTCAAAATAAAAAAATAATTCAACTTAAAATTCATATTCAAAGAGTTTGTATCTCAAACTTTTCAGATCTGTACGTCTTAAACAGAAAAAAAAAATCCACCTGCTTCCTTACCTGTAGATATCTACTCCTGTCTCATCTGCATAGCTGAACTTGAATGTGTAGGATTCAATCAAGGTCTACAAAAGAAAGTTAAATACATGTAGCATCACCAAATGATTGATCTTATAAGGTTGAATTAAATATTCCAAAAAAAAATTAATGCAGTCTTTCATGAATATTATCCCTCTTTCATCATATGAAACAATATGTAAAGAAGTAAATGTATTACATGTATTATTTTTCAACTGAATTTTTGCAATTTCATTGGTTCAAACATATGACACAACTATATTTTGGTGGACATGCACCTCTGGAAGGCGAGCACTTTTATCTAGTAATATAGATGACACCTAACCATTTTAATTTTTTTTTTTAAGAAATTATTTATTTCTATCCAAGTGATGGGAAAATAAATCATTTATATATAATAAGCTTGTTATTGACTCTTTACAGAAATATATAGATATCTTCATATGATTGATCAATCATATATTTCTGTAAACAGTCAGCAACCTTCAAAGTAATATTATACAAGAGGCCCATGGGCCACATCGCTCACCTGAGCACTGTGGCTAGGAAAAAGTAGAAATTGGTTTATTATTGAAAAGTTTAAATCTTAAAGTAGTCCCATGACCAATCATGGCTTTGCTATTCTTGAGAAGAAGATTTTTAAAGAATTTTCCTATATATATCTATGTAAAACTTTGGATAGCCATTTTGGCCCCGCCTTACCCCCGGGGGTTATAATTTGAACAAACTTGAATCTACACTACCTGAGAATGCTTCCATATAAACAAGATCAATTATAGCTTTGATTTTCTTGAGATGAAGATTTTAAAGAATTTTCCTATATAGTTCTATGTAAAACTTTAGTTGTCCATTTTGCCCCCCACCCCCACCCGGGGCATGATTTCAATAAAAATATGATCAATTATAGCTTTTCTATTTTGGAGGAGAAGATTTTTTTGAAGAATTTTCCTATATATTTCTATGTAAAACTTTAGTCGTCCACTGTGGCCCCGCCCTACCCCCGGGGGTCTTGATTTGAACAAACATGAATCTACACAACCTGAGGATGCTTCCATATGATATAAATATGATCAATTATGGCTTTACTATTCTTGAGAAGAAGATTTTAGAGAATTTTCCTATATATTTCTAAGTTAAACTTTGATTGGCCAGTGTGGCCCCGCCCTACCCCCGGGGGTCATGATTTGAACAAACTTGAATCTACACTACCTGAGGATACTTCCATATAAATATGATCAATTATGACCTGTTCTTGAGAAGAAGATTTTTAAAGAATTTTCCTATATATATCTATGTAAAATTTTGGTTGGCCATTTTGGCCCCGCCCTACCCCCGGGGTCATGATTTGAACAAACTGGAATCTACACTACCTGAGGATGCTTCCATATAAGGTTCACCTTTCCTGGCACAGTGGTTCTTGAGAAGAAGATTTTTAAAGAATTTTCCTATATATTTCTATGTAAAACTTTGGTCGGCCATTGTGGCCCCGCCCTACCCCCAAGGGTCATGATTTGTAAAAAGTTGAATCTACACTACCTGAGGATGCTTCCATATAAGCTTCATCTTTCCTGGCACAGTGGTTCTTGAGAAGAAGATTTTTAAAGAATTTTCCTATATATTTCTATGTAAAATTTGGTCAGCCATTGTGGCCCCGCCCTACCCCCGGGGGTCATGATTTGAACAAACTTGAATCTACACTACCTGAGGATGCTTCCATATAAGCTTCATCTTTCCTGGCACAGTGGTTCTTGAGAAGAAGATTTTAATAAAGAATTTTCCTATATATTTCTCTGTAATACTTTGGTAGGCCATTGTGGTCCCGCCCTACCCCCGGGGGTCATGATTTGTAAAAACTTGAATCTACACTACCTGAGGATGCTTCCATATAAGTTTCATCTTTCCTGGCACAGTGGTTCTTGAAAAGAAGATTTTTAAAACATGCCACCAAATTTTTATTGAGCCTTCGGCTCAGGTGAGCTAATAATAAAGAATGCTTAAATGAATATAAAGAAATATTACACAGGTTTATATATATGTGTAACAGGAAGAGAGGAAATGTATGGTTGGACCAGGAATCAAACCCGGGATCCCTGCATCAGTAGTCAGGTGCTCTACCGACTGAACTACCCAGGCCAATATCAACAACCCAAACCATTACATTCCACCCTCCTTAAACGGTCTTTGCCCTAAAAGACACAACCCAAGTTCTTATTACCCCCTGGCAGGACTTTCACCAGGGGTGGTCAACAGCACCAAATCTGTTACTGGAAAGGAGAAAATGTATGGCTGGACTAGGAATCGAACCCACACCCCTGCATCTCTAGTCAGGTGCTTTACCAACTGAGCTACCCAGGCTGATATCCATGATCCAAACCATTACATACTGTAGACGTACTTTTTTCCACAAGGTCATAATTCCGCGGAATCTCAATTTCTGTTTAATCCGCGGGTAGAAAATTACGCGGATTTTCTAAATTGTCACTCTATACCTTACTTTTATATTAAGTACGCTTGAACAAATTTCCGCGGAATATTTATGATCGCGCATAGCGTAAATGAATACCACGCGGAAAAAAGTACTTCTACAGTATATTATACAGAATACTTAAATAATCAACTTACCTCAGGGTTTTCTGGATCACGGTAGAGCTGAAATGTAGAACCATACTTATTTTTACAAATGATCACGAATTGTCGAATAACAAATAAACTTTTTTTTCTTTCAGAAACATTTCTTTTATTCAAAATAAAGATATGAGACTTTTGAGAAAACAACCCATGTTTCAAAATGCTATGTGAAGTACAATTTATATCCTTAAACTGAAGACTTGGTTGCAAAATAAAACCAATTATATCTGAATTTCAGCAATAAATTCTGAATTCTTTCAGCCCATTGATGACTTAATACTGGGTCCTAATTAACTGTCATCTGTAGCATCATTGTGAGCTAGGATACTGAAAACAGCTTATATTATGGTGTTTTTATACTTATATAGAGAGTGAGGGAGCTTTCAGGAATTCAGAAAATAAGTGATAATAATAGTTACATACCCCTAGGATAAGTATTCTAAGCTGAAATTTAAAAAATACATTATAACAAAAAAATCTTCCACATTCTGCTAATACATTGTAGTACAGCAAAACTCGGTTATAACGAAGTCGCTGGGACCTTTGAAATTACATCGCTATATCCGTAATTCGTTATAACCGTATAAAAAATTCATTAAATTTATATAGCTGGGGATCCAAATCGACTTCGCTTTATCCGTGAATTCGCAATATCCGTGTTCGTACTAACGAGTTTTACTGTACTATTAAATTTAAATTAAAGACATTTTGTATGTAGTATAAATTTATTTCTGCTATGGTATGCAGTCACAAATTTTGAAATTTGTCCAAGCTTATGTAAAGCACATTTTAATCATACAATCACAATACACATGTAGTGTTCTGATACAACATTTCCATGTACTTACATATTTCTTGTCCAAGGCATCAAAGCATCCTTTCATATACTGTATGAATTTACACACTCCTGGACAAGCACTGTCATCTCTCAAAGTTTTCAAATGTAGGTCTATAGGATGAAAATTATAAATGCAGTCATTGGACTCTAATTGGAATGAAATTATAGGTATATGGCATTAAAAGCAATAAAATGCTTTCTTTGATTGTTAGTACAGGAATTTAAGTTCCAGTTGCAGAAAAAATACTTAATATACACAATTATATAATAATTAATAAGAATTAAAATTGTATTATTGATTTTAAATTTGTATTATTGTATAAAGACTTAAGTTTCTTTCATTGATGGGAGAGCCAGTACGTGCTAGAGAAATCTATACAGGTGGTTGCTTAACAGCATTAAAGTAAAATTGTATGTGATATCCAGTGTTTTCCCTTTATTTCAAAGTAAAGGGTTAGAGATAAGTTGTAACAGGCTAGGGGCTGAGGTTTATGAACAAAATCTCTGTGGACCTAACCACAAAATTTTATTTCAAAGCGGCATTTTTGTCAATTGAAGCAGTCAATTTGGCCAGTAGCCGGTTCTTAGGGAAAACACTGGATATCTGATAGAAAAATGATAAAGTATAAAAAACATTACACTGTTGTTCTTATTTTCCAATCCTTTCAAATGATGGTATCTAACCATAAATATCCATCTTAAATTAAAATTTGTACAGCATTTTATCAAATCTTGTAAGGAATTAATCTGTACCTTCAATTGAACGATCTCCAAATGCATGCTCTGGAAACAAGGCTCTTAGGTAAGCAATGTTTGAAACTGCCACAGCCAAAAGTTTCTTCACAAACAGTATGGACTTCTGTTCTGTCACAGTCTCATTTGGAAAAATCCCTGTCAACTAAAATCAAAATTAATCATGGTTACATATATACCTGTGAACAAGTGTAAACAATTTTGTTGAAATTATAATGATCAAAATGTCATTAAAGCTTAATAGCCAAAATTTGAAGTTTGAATTTAAAATAAAGTTATCTCAAACCTTATATCAAACTTTACAGACAAACACAACAGACAGAAAACATGATACTGTATACAGGGAAATTTTCGCCCCCATTTTATTTTCACCCCTTTCGCCCTACCCTCATTTGGGCAAATTTAAAACGGGGTGAATTCAAAGAATACAGTTTAACTTCTTAAACAAAACTAGGACTGGGCAAATTTAAAATGGAGCAAAATTGTTTGCAAGAGTGAAAGGGCGAAAATAAGATGGGGCGAAAATAACCCTGTATACAGTATTTCAAATTAAGCAGTTTTAAACAGTTCACATAATCAACATGATCAATTACACTTATAATTTCTGAGATTTTTAAACCATTTTCCTTGAATGCATGATGAATGGTCTGTTCTCTCAAGATCAATGCAACAGTACATTAAAAGGGAAACATTTACATTGCTGCATACATTACACATGTATATATTCAATGCCATTTCTTGAACATCTTACATCTTTAGTTTTCTCTCTTTGGCACTGTGTAGTTGCCATTTCTCCGAGGGTCTGAAATTAAAAAAAAAATTGTAATTTTAGCAACAGCTCAAGTTTTTGTACCTATAGTGTTTCTAAAAAATATTCAGGATTTGTTGTGAGCACTGTTTACATTCTTGATCGAATAGAATAATAAAATTGCGCTTTCAAATTCAAAACATGTCCCTGGTCAACTGTATTTCCGAGAAATCACTTAAGTTGGTAGATGTATGCTTTATATACAATTTTTTTTCTATGTATGCTTTGAGATATATACATTATGAATATTGCAGCCATTCCAATCAGCATAAAGAACAGATTACTGTGAGTGACTGTCTTGTATCTGCACTGGTTGTGACCTGTTTTTTGATGAAGTACATGTACGTAATAAAATGGCATAAAATGTACAAAAGGTGAATTCTGTGTACCTTTTCCAAGTCTATATTTTGTTAAGTTTGTTTTCATTTTTTCTCAAGTTTATAACAAAATTTATAGGCATTTTGTTTATCAAATGATTAACTTTAATTTTGTTCATAGAGTGCATTAAAATTACTCATCAATGCATTTTTTTTGTAAATGCACATGACTTTCCTACCCCTTCTTAACCATTCATCCTGGAGTAACTGTTCTGAATTCAATGGTTGATTTTTTTTGCAATATGTGCAAAAGGGCCTATTGGAATCAAAGTTTTGAATGTCTTCAGGCTATGATTTGAGACCAGCCAGTTATTTGATCAGTCTACGCGAAAGTTTAAAATTTTTACAGGACAAAATGTCTGGCAAAAATAAGATTTTTACCAGACCAAACAATTACCAGACCGACTTTTTTTACTTTAAATCCATACATCGTTATGATACTGAGATTGAGAGGTTGGGTGGGATGGGGTTAATTCTCACTGTGACATTTAACCTTAAATAAATTCAGAGTGAAATGGACAAGTTAACTATTATTTTATAATTTTCCTTTGTAAAAGGTATCTTCTTATACAATTGCATGCATTTTTTTCTTCATATTTGACTTATACACAAGACACTGTACACCCATTCTCAATTTAAGGGCTCAAATAATGTCGCCTCATTTTCATTTAGAAGACATACCACTGATGTAATTTTCAAATCAACATTATAAATAGTCATATAACAATGAATAAGAATTCATATAATTATCGATCTGAAAGGGTATTTAAAAAGTTCCAAATTCAACTATAGTAGCGTATTTGAAATGTACGTTACTGTCGCCGAGGCAAATATTATGCTGAATCCCCTCTGTGTAATATGCAGTTTTGATTCTCAAGTAAAAATTTTCTGATAAGTTAAACCTTGTATCATATACATTTCTTTTTATAACAATAAATACATTTTCTTTGTGATAATAAATCATTTTTATTGTGCAATGTCCCTGTCGCTTAATTCTATTCCAACCAATTTACAAGCAAAGACAAAGATTATACAACTGATAGTTCTTTTCTCCTTTATTTATTGATGGGCTAAATTTGAAATTTCAAAGGATTATTTACTCATACTTAGATAATGTAACATGAAATTGAACAATTTGAGCAACTTTTATAACTATGTTTACGGAATAAAAGACATTTTCAATCGTAGAGATAAGAAAGAAATGTACGTTACCTATATCCTTCCATTAAGAATATATATTAAGTAGAAAATATGAGACGACTCTGAATAAGCAACCCCTTGTACCCTGTAAACTGGCAAAGACGTTTTGCTTAACACAATTAAAAGTTATTTTTTACATGAAAAGTAGTCATTCGAAATGTACGTGACTGAAACGTACGTTACCATGAAATTCGAATTCAGCGAATCTCGCACGAATCTTCATGTATTCTCATACTTTCACACACTCGAATGTGTACACAAAGGAAAGTTTCAAAGGTTGGAGGTCGGCTAAATCCCAAAAATTAATGAAAAGAAACCTTTCTGCTGAGGAAAAAAATTATATTAAGGTCATTTATATGTGATATAATTTTGATACCTGATATGTATTTCTGAATACGAAACCTGTATGATGCATTTCTTATGATATGCAAGTTCAAATAATATCAATATATTGCGTGTGTAACGTACGCTTGTGGAAGAGAATTGATTTTTATATTTGAAATGTACGTTACGTATGGTAACGTACATTTTGCGTACTTCTAACTGACATTTTCTTTTAAGTTTAGTCAATGAATTGCGTTTATACGAGCGAAACAAAATTATCGTTACAATCCATTTAACAACTGACCACATAAAGCCATTGCACTCCATTCCTCGTAAATGTGGTAGACTTTTACCACGTGCTAGAAAGTTTATTTCTAAGCATCTTAATTCATCTTTGGCAACCTTTTTGCAGTTTGTTTACTTTTAATATGCGACTTTTCGTCAATATTCATTTAATTGTTGTTGATAATTTAAAACAAGGTATGCACAGGCTTATAATTGGTAAAAAAAAAAAAAAAAAACAACAAAAAAAAAACACAAGACGGTCACGTACATTTCAACTAATGAAAGGTACACAATACTCAGATTTGTTTGAATCATTGCATTTTGGGTTATATTTTTCCAGATCTGCTGAAAAGCACGTATGTCTGTGTTTTGACAAACGATGTTGCAGCATACTAATGAAATTGTTAACAAGACTGTGGATGGATATATTCGGAATAGATTTTGATCATTTATGTTAAGTTTCAATGGCCAAACACGAACATTTGTTGGATCCTAGCAAAATATGTCTTACTCTTATTTGTTTTTGTCTGTACCCTTGCCCACAGGTAGAACTAACTAGGCAATGGTGTCAATTTCAGCGAAACAGCACAAAAGAATGGTAATGAACTGAGGTGGAGGGGACTCCCCAATAATATGTGAAATGAACGTTACCGAAGTGACGTGACAATCATGTAGCTGATGACAAATAACCTCGTTTGTTACATTATGATTTCTTATATTACTGCGTTAAAACGCTTCATTGAAATGATTTTTATGTCAATAATTGCTTTTTTTCAATATTTACTTACATATTATTACAAGTTTGAAATGTACGTTACCTACTCATATTCTGAGGCAACCGTGTCTTTATAGTGGTGATTGTGACAAATAACACAATGTGATTACATACAGAATCTATTTTGGAATAAACTGACGCAAAACGATGAAATGTTCGATGAATTTTAAGCTTTTTATCAAACAGAAATAAATAATGAAATGTACGTTATATTTACGTAGTTTTCTAAATCGACATGGATATATGTTAAAAAGGACAGTAACTACAAAATAGAATTTTACTAAATGTACATGTTAAGTTCCAGTATCTATAGAAAATGACAAAATTCCAAACTGATCGCTCTAATCAAAACAGAGAGAAGAATTTAAAGCATACATTATAAAAAATTTCTATACATCTGGATCAAAAAGTAACCTTTGTTTTTTGAAAGGAAAAATCAAACGCACGTTCATATGCTGAGAGAATGTGTTGCTGACAGAGTTGGTAGGATGTGCTGGTTTTAAGATGAGATATCCCAATTGTGATTTTTAATGACTACATTTTTTTCTGTAGACCTTTTTGGACATTGCAGAAAGAGTAACGTACATTTCCAGCTACATTTTTGAATAAAATCCTCCCCTACTTCAACGTCTTGTCATTATTTCATGTATTTAAATTTGATGAAAAAAAATCTTGTAACAAAATCTTCAGATACTTTCTTTCAAAGGTAATTGATAGAAAAATTGTTATCTTGAACTTTATTTTTTTTTAAATCAGATAGGCATTTGTGCTCTTATATTGAGAATGGGTGTGTAACAAAGATTTCGTTAAATTTAATATACACTTTCAATGCATATTTATTTTTCCTGAAACAATTCATTATGGTTACTCAAGTTCAATAATCATTTGAAAATAATTTCCCAACCAAATCTACATGTACGCATGTGCTATCTAAATATTTTCCAAACCAAATCTACGTATGAGTTATCTAAAGATCTCTAATCCTTGACAGAGGAAATTCGAATTAGAATAAAAACGATCATGACAGGGTTGTAATACATGAAAATTAATCAGGTATTACTGCTAAATTGGTCAAATAAAGGATATTTGTGGGGAATTTGACCTCTTAATTTAGATTTATTTGGCCTTCTTTTTTATCGGACATTTGGTCCTCACAGTATACTGAAATTTTTTACCGAGTCCGACCCGACCTAAATTTTAACGGTAAAAACCGACGGTCTGGTGACTTTCGCATAGACTGTTTGATACATGAGCTAGATAACCTAGCTAGTAACTGACTGGTAATAATTCAGCATGCATGGTTAAAACTATTAAATCATACTATTTTAAATTAAGGCTTCAATGCATACATTTCACAATGAGTACTGGTAAGACTGAAACGGTTAACCACGATTCACCACAGTATTTTTTCTTGGTTTGATACAGGGTGCTACAATTTTCACTTCTGTCTTTAGGTTCGGTTCATCTTTCAGTCTGGATTGTTATTCAGATAGATTTAGCATAGGTAAAAACATGTTACTCTGCATAATTAAGTTCTAAAAACAGTAAACGTAAACTTTTGAGGACTGATAGTTTGAAAAATATCTACTGTATACTTTTGAGGACTGATAGTTCGTAAAATAATCTTCAATAGTCAACACATTCTAATCAACTTCCTCTTGTCAATCAGCATGTAAAATGTTAATTGACTAAACGTAGCAAATGAAAACAAACACAAAATGTATCCCAATTGGAAAGAACCGTAATGTCTACTGAACAAAATTATATGGAATGTATTGTACTGTGAAGGATGCAAAGCATTTCATTCCAATTAAAGAGAAATCCATCGGCATGTGATAATGTAAATTGTTACTAGGCCTATATTTTGAGCCAACTTTTTTTGAAAATAGGAATCCATCTACCACAGTACAAATAGATCTACATGCCACAAGTTTGAGATGGTCGGACCCCACGTCTATATCACACAAAAAACATGTGAAAACTGCTCTGAAATTCAAGCTATTTAGAACTGCTTGTTTATAACTCAAACTTTAGACGTTTAGTGGAAAAGATTGCTGGATATGGAAAACATGTTACTTGAACATACATTTGATTTCATCAATATTTTTAAAGAAACTGAAAGAGCTCAGTATTTGACAGAAGAACTGTCTATACCTTATAAACACTTGCACCTTCGTATGTACTACTTCTTTAAGTCTGTAAAATCGGTTCTTTCTTTTCAGTTTCTTGTCAGCAGACGACCACAACGCAGTGTTGACCAACAAAATGTCACGTGATCCTCACTTTTAAGCGCTTTAGTGACGAAGATTTACCATGCGCATGTCGTTGCTATCAACAACATAACCTACTTCCGGTTGCAACTGTATTTTTGAAAAAAAATTGACGGAAGCTGTGATTTTCCTTTATCAAACATAAAGTGAGTATTTAAACGTTAATGTTTTGATTTTTATGATATATTGATCCGCAAATGGATTTTATCGCTTGTTTATACTTATGTAGAGTGGCAAAAAGTTAGAAAATCGCATTGATCAGTGCTTGAATCTCACAAGATATTTGTTGCTGTTGATACCCGTGTCATTTCTCTTTTGCTGAATGTTGATTTGGTTAAGACATTTCTTGATTTATTTTTGCTTCAAGATTGTCATCTTACTTGTCTTCTTGAATGCACCCCTCTTTACAAAATCAATGTTTATTTGAAGTGTCCAAAACATTTTTTGAATGAAGCACAAAGGATTAATTTGCAAAATTTTGATTGAAGAACGAAAATGAATTAGTTTAAAATGAATTGATAAGTGATTATAATACAGACTGACTATTAAGCTTGTGTCCTTATCATGTTTATTATGACTTGTATCTCTTTCTCTTACCCAATAATTTAATTTTGCTTGTATTCTTGCCTCTCATTGGTTGATTTCCAAAAAGGAACGCATAACATTTTGTATAATCTGGTTTGGTATGGGGACACACCCCCTTGACAACCAGCATAATCATCTGTTTCCATCAATCCCCTCATTTCCAGTCCTTGGGATTCATGGAAAATTCCTGATTTAATGAATGTACCTTTAATTTCAAACAGTTACTCGATCTTACCTCATGTAAACGAGCATCATGGCTGCTAGATCTATGTATCAGTTTTTACCTCCCCTCGCTTCCCATCACTTCCGTTACTACGGTTGTATTATTGCGCGGTAAATTTGAACTCATAAAAACAACACAATTTTACATCCCCAGTTGAATAATTATTTTAAAATTAAATTATAAGGAATGACTCTAATTCTTGGCCAGATTATCGAGTATAATATGGTTTGGGTCAGTTTACGCTTTTTTATAATCCGCTTCGCGGATTATAAAGCGTAAACTGACCCAAACCATATTATACTCGATAATCTGGCCAAGAATTAGAGTCATTCCTTAATTAAGGGTGCGTCAGTAAATTTGGATACCTGACTATAGATAGGATGTATATTAAACTGTCTGAAAGTATATAATTATACATTTACCATTGATATCTTAATTTCAGACTTAATAATGCCTACCAATCCAGACGAGCCCTACTACTGCTCGCAGCAAATAAATCTCCCACCATCAGTACCGGATATTCTGAAACAATTCACAAAAGCGGCAATCCGCACTCAACCAAAAGATGTCTTGGCATGGTCTGCTGCGTAAGTTATTTCAGAATTAAAAATAAGTACTGTATTAAACACAAAGTCAAATCAAGCAAGTCTGATTTAAATACATACAAAAGTAATATTGATGTTGGAAGTCGATGAGGCAGATACTTCGCCAGTTTTGTAAAATATTGAAAGATATACTGTTACATGTAATTCCCTCTACTTCCCCTCTCAATTTTTTGTTGAATACTCTCATAGAAGTGTGCATATGGATACCTACTTGAAGAATAACATTATGAATGACGAGATATTTGTTTATATTTTATAGCTATTTTAAAGACATGGCAAAAGGAGAGACACCCCCTGTGAAAGAGAGACTTGAAATGCCCGTGGCCACACAGAAAACAGATACAGGTCTTACCCCAGGTCTTTTGAGGGTGCTAAATAAGCAGGTATGGAACAGTTCAGAAGGAAAATATATACAAAGTTAATACATCTACATGTAGTTATGATTTCATTTTCCTCAGTATTCGTGATATCCATGTATTAATATTGTTCTTGATTATTAATTTCTGAGCTTATTCCATGAAATTTCAATTGCATCTGTCAGATTCCTGAACATGTATTGTATCATTTTAATATGTTTGGCCTTATAATTCAAACATTAAATTGATGATTTATGTTAAAGTTAATCTTGAGCACAACAAATTAATGCATTTATTGACTAGCAAAATAAATTACTCCTTTTCCATTATTCCATCCCTCCTAATCATGATTTAATTCCAATTTGATGATATAGGTGGAACATTTTTTCGTAGACTCCAAGGTTGGCCATTTGTATTCATTTACCACATATGAAATGTTTTTTCTTCAAAAACTTATCACAGACATAATTTGCGAGTGTTCACAGATTGTTTTCACTGATAAATGCCTGTGTTTAACTCATGTCCTGAAACATTCTTGGAAACAATTGAGAGGACACAATCACACAATATGTCATTATTATAAATGAAACAAGTGTTTGAAAACTAACAATCACAGAATGACATATCAACAAAGGTGTTTATTATGGAATTGAACTCATGATTATTTTTTCAATGTACATATACTTAAGAATGATGTTATAAATCTGAAAGGAAAAAAAAAAACTTGTGAAACAACATAAATTTACAATATATTAAAATCTAAGCAATTTTCTTTCAAGTTGACAAAATTTACAGTCATATCATAGTATAAATAAACTAAATAGGATATGGTAATGTTTCTGTAAATATCAAATTTAACCAATTTTGTTGATATCTGCAGCTTGGTCCAAAGAAGACAGTATCATTAAGCTTAATCGAGGAGAAGTGGGCAGATTTAGCTCTCCCCAAAGAACAATTTGACGACCTGGTCAGGATAGGGAGTTTTGGGGGAGAGGTTGAATGGAATAAATTTTTTGCCCTCTGTGCTTCAGCACTAGGAGAGGTAAGAATACCTGAGTGACAAGTTTGTAATTGTCTTGTACCTACTTTTATAGCTAGAGTGTGTTAATCAAGGTGTGGCCTAGCTAGTCCATTACTTGAAGTTCTCTCTACATAAAATGTTAAATCATTTTTAAAAAAAATTTTTTACTGATGATAGGCATTTTATGTAAAACTAAAGAATCTTTAGATTAATTCAATTATGTTCAAAAAGTCACAGTATTTAATTCTTAGAACAAATAATATACATGATTATAACAGCTAGATTTATGATTTAAGTCAGGGACAATAATTCCTTAAAAAATGTTTTCAATCATTAACCTTTCATTTTCAGAACATTACAGATGCCATGAAGACAATCTGCGAGATTTTAACAGCAGATCCCGAGGGCGGCCCCTCTAGAATCCCCTTCCCATTATTTAAGGATCTCTACACCTACCTAGCACAGATTGATGGAGAAATTACACAGCAACAAATTAATGAAGTCTGTAATTACCTCAAATATCATGTGTAAGTATAACATGTATTTATGCATCATACATGTGGGGGTATATATTCCAGGGATTAGTATATAGACTGAATACTTTACAAATATAGCCTTTTGATGAGGTCAGTCCCAGGATATATAGACCTTAGAAAAAGCATTTCCACCAAACACAAAGTGCAAGGTCAGTTTGCTTTGTCTAAGTTCTCTATATCTAGGGATCGCCTGTGTGGTGCTTTGGTTAGAGTGTCTGCTTTAGAGTTGCGGCATAAGGAGTTGATCCTTATGTTGAGGGTTTCCCTGCTCAATGGCCCTGAGTCCCGAGCATAGGTCAAAATTTGCAGGTCTCCACAGGCAAGTGCTTGCATCTCCATATGTTTGAAAATTTCTTGAGAGGGATGTTAAACACAAACAAAATAAAATATATCTAAGGATTGAACCAAATCAAAAGGCTATATTTGTTTTATTATTTTTATTAAATCAGTTAATAAGAAATGTGTTAAAATTGATGGTCTAAAACTCAGTACTTTCTCATATTGCTTTATAAGGAATAGTTATGACATACACATAATGACAGAACAGTTATGAATATCATCTGCAGTACTCTGTAGTGACTGGGGCAGACAGTGTTTATCATAACCATCTTTGGTCCCTCCATTTGTCCTTCCATCACACTTTGCATTGATGTTGCAATTTCCAAGAAACTTATGTAATTTCATAGAAGACTTTGCTATACATACTCTGTACAGCTATAAAGAATCTAAATAAGTATTCTATTAATTTGAAGTTTTTATTAATTCATTATATTTCTCTTTTAGGGACAAACAAGATGGATATGTCCAACCTCGTAATTTCCTTGGAGCTGAATGTCCGAAGTTATCTAATCATTGAGGTTTTTGTGATATATAACTAATGACTACTTTTTCTTCGATCATTATTGATACTAAACCATCTGAGAATGCATTCAAAGTTCAAAGAAACAATCTTAAAAATTCTAGTGTTCAGAAATTACAGACACACCATCTTGATTTCAAAACTGATGGATTGTTCTGTTTTGTTGAGGGGGAACAATTAAACTCTTTTTTTTATCTTTTAGAGTATATTTAAAGGATTGTACATATGTTGTTGTATATGCAATAAAATTCAAATTCAGTCAATGTTTTTAATTCTGCACTGCTCTTGTTCACATTGGAAAGTTACGTTAGCCAAAAACACTTTTGTAGCATCTTCATCTTTAATTTGCAAACCTCAAAGCAACAATGGAAAACGTGTAATGGGATCTTGGATATCAGCCTAGGTAGCTCAGTTGGTAGAGCACCTGACTAGTGGTGCAGGGGTCCTGAGTTTGATTCCTGGTCCAATCATTTTTAATTTCTTTTCTTATACCTGTCTGCAGATTGAGGCATTTGATATTGATTTAGAGTTTCTGCTTCCATGTGGGTGACACCAAACTCCCTCAATGATATAGCTCAACCAAATGTGCATGTACTAAGTATGTATTATAATATGAATTATAATTTACACATTGTGTCTGCCAAGAGTAGACATTATACAGTTATTGAATGGGTATGAGGGCAACATGATTTGTTGGACCTGAAGGTGAAAATGTTGCCCAAGGCCACAGGCCAAGGGCAACATTTTCACCTTCGGGTCCAACAAATCATATGTTGCCCTCATACCCAGTCTATTTATAACAAGTCTGTTT